GAGTTGACTGATATACTCTAAACTTAGGCTCATCTACTAGCGAAGAGAAATTTTCCTGAAGAAAAAAAAAAAAAAAAACAAGACATAAAAGCTGTAGAGTCATGTAGGCCTTCCAGGCCAGCCCAGCGATAAAGCTCCTGTGCAGTCTGATCCTAGTTTAATACGACATTCAGGTCTGTTGTTTACTGGTAGCAAGATGCTTGCTGAGTTTCTGGCACCATACATGGGCCCAATGTGGCAAATCTTGCTGCTGTGCATCAGACCCAGTCCAGAAGCCAGCAGTGGCACCCAAGCTAGCAACCAGGCATAAGCACAAAAGGCTGAGGTTCAGAATCCCTCCCCTTCCAACTCGCGTTGTAGTTGTGAGTTGTCTGGCCCATCCTTGTTTCATCTCCAGATATCCCCGCTACCATATGTAGTGCACGGTTCTGCACCTGCAGGTTCTGTGCACCCTCTGTGTGTCCCTCCAGATTTGCCCTCCCTTTGTGCAACAGAACTGAACTGATTTCACTGTTAGAGAGCTGGGGGCAGGATGTTCCCTTAAGTGCTTATATTGAACATAGTCCCACTGAAGTTGCTGGGACTATATGAGGTTTGGTGCAGCAAGCCCTTTAGCCTTGAGAGAAGGAGGTTTTTAGTTTTATGGGCTTGTGGGGTCAGCTTAACGAGTATTGCTTAGTTTTGGTTCTGTAGCCTTGTGGCTGTGAAACCGTCTCTGAATTTTCACTTTGTTAAAGAATTAGCCACTTTAAATGGGGACACTACAACTTTTGTGATTGAAGAATGAATTTTAGCTGCATTGCAAAGCAGTCAGAAGGCTATTGCTCTCTTGCCACATCATCCTTAAAAAGACATAAGACTTTGTCTTTTACCCACCCTCATTTTAGTGGGAAGCAGACATAAGTCATATAGATCATGGCAGAGATGCAATTAAGCTAGAAAAATAGAAGAATGCACTTGAGGGAAAAATAAACAGTGCTGACTACAAGCAGCACAGCTCTTGGCTCTGACCAGTTCTGGAGTTACTGAGGAAGTGTTAAAAATAACAATAGGGTAAAATATTTCCTAGGCCTCTGGCAGAAACATTTCAGTTACTTTTAGCATTTAACAATAGACCGAAATGTCAGCCAACTCACTTAGGTTAAATTCATTGTGGGACAACTCCATTGATGAATATGTCCCATTGTGGTGACAGACTTTCAGGGGAGATTCACTGAGGGGTACATACAAAAAGAAAAAGCCTGGTCAATCAGGTAGCACGTTCTTTTTTTATTTCTCAGGTGAAATTTAGCAGCACTTCTTTTTTCCCCCCTTCAGAAAAGTCTTGGTTATGAATGCAGAAGACAGACTCTGCATGTGTCTGTACCCTGTGTCTGTAATGAGATCTGTAAAGATGTAATGTGCTACAAATCCAATGATGATAGCAGATCAAACACATCATTGCTGAAAATTAAGTAAAACCCATACTCGGATTGAACTAAAGTAGCTCAGAAAAGAACACTGCTTTCGATGGAGAGCAATTTTCTGCCCTAGGTGGAAGGAGCAGTTACGGGGGCAGACTCACCCATCCCTTTCTCCAGGGCCGGCACTTGCACTAGGCGACCCTAGGCGGCCGCCTAGGGCAGCAGGATTTGGGGGGCAGCATTTTGCCGTCCTCGGCGGAAATTCGGTGGTGGGGGTCCTTCCGCTCCGGGTCTTCGGCGGAAATTCGGCAGCAGGACCTTCACTTGCTTTGGGACCCACTGCCAAAGTGCCCCAAAGATGCTGAAGTGCCCCAAAGACGCGGAGCGGAAGGACCCCCGCTGCCGAATGCTCAGAGGAGGAGCGCTGCCGCCTAGGGCAGCAAAAACCCTGGCGCCGCTCCTGCCTTTCTCCATAAAAGATCCTACAGAATCATCTAGTCTTCATTGAACAAAATGTCAGCCAGCTCACTTAAGTTGAACTAATTGTGGGTCAATGAAGACTAGATAATTCTGTTGGGTCTTTCATATTGCTTGGTGGTGGCTGAATTAAATAAAGCCAATCTGGCAGCTGAGACTTCAGTGACTACGAATTAACCTAATTTCAAGAGCAGGAGGCACGCCTTTCCATTGATCAGTGCTAAAAGTATGCTAATACCAATAATAGTTTTCATACAAATCTTGCTGGTGCATCTGTGGTCTTTGGCACATACTTTATATTATATGGTTTTAGTGGCCATCCTGCGAATAGTTATGGTCCTGGGAGGACAGAGGTAATGCTATTGGAAAGAGAAAGAAAAGATTGTAAAGGGATTTAAAGTAAACTTAGTTCCTGGGCCAGAAGGTAGCATCATTAGGCTTAATTCAAGGTGGTTTTAATGAAATACTGCTGGGGAAAAAGTTAAGTTATACTAGAGTGTAATATCCCTTGGGAAAACACATTTCTCTTGCTGGTCATAAATATGCCATTAACTGATAATTCTCTCCTATATTCTAATATAAATGTCTAATAGAGCATTTTTCTTTTTTAAGGTTCCTTAGAGGCCTCAATTCAGCAAAGCTGTTAATCAGGGAATTAACTTTAACTTGAAGGCAATGGAACTTAAGCATGGAATTTGCTGCTTTCCTGATTAGGGATTGACAGGGCATACGCTTAAGTGCTTACTGAATCAGAGCCTGGGCACATTTTCTTTAGGCTTTGTCTACACTGGCACTTCGTGGACAAAAGTTTTGTCGTTCAGGGGTGTTAAGGCCCCCCCGCGAACGACAAAAGTTTTACTGACGAAAAGCACTGGTGTGAACAGCGCTTTGTTGGCAGGAGAGCTCTCTCCTGCTGACAAACAGCAGCTACTCTGCGCAGCTTCTAGCGGCACGGCTGTAGTGGCACAGCCATGTTGCTAAAAGCTGCGTAGTGTAGCTATACCTTTAGCTAGTGAACAAGATGCAAAGAGCACAATTCTGCCCTTAGCAATGCACACACAACTTCCATTGACTTTAGTGGGAACTGTGCTCCTGAATTTGAGAGCAGAATTTGGATCTTTTGAATCCTACTTTGAATATTAAGGACACTAAACATAATATTTGAAAAAAGGAAAAGACCTTCCTAGTGTTCTTTATAACACACATTGCTTTTACAGTTATTTCTTATTTAGTAAAGGTACTATTCATTATTCATACTGTTTGCTTTCGGCATTTTTTTCAGCTTGGAATGTGAAAATAAACACATCACCTTCACATTTAGATTCTCATTCACTGGCAAAATGCTGCAATAATTGCATCGCCACCACTGCAGAGGAATGTTACAAAAAACTCTGTTTCTGCATTAGAAATGTTTCTGTTGATGTTTAATTAGATTAAAAAAAGGAAAGATGGGATGGGGTGGTAAATTTCATAGGACAGTAAATGTTTCTTTTTGTTTTTTCTGTAGTAAAATATTAAACCAGTAAAATCAAAGGTACTTTTTAAGCACAAGAGATAAGTCCTTTTTTTTTTAAAAAAAAAGACTTTTTTAAGAGAATGGTTTGATACCAAAAAATTACTTGTACTTGAAGTTGTGCTTTCCTTGCAGGTATAAACAGAAGGGGTTTCATAGTGTTTTTAGACTGTTGAGTGTAATGGAGAGAGATTTAAATATACTGAAAATGCTTCCCTATAAATAAACCTGTGGTTAGAGCAATGTAAAGGCATGGATTTGTGTGAGCGAGATGCACAAAAAAACCCAAGGGCTCACTACTGTGCCATTGGGTGGATAGAATAATAAAACACCATCTCCTTTTTTTATCTGTAAGGAAAATAACTTGTGGAAAATTTATTTTGGGAGAAGTTAAAAGGTTGAGCGAGTTGCCATACTATGCAAAGAGGGCAGCTTGGCTTTTGACTACAATAGAGCTTTGCTTAGGGCCTGATCCTGCAAGGTGCAGAGCTTCCTGAGAATTTCTGAGGCCCTGAACTTCTACTGACTTCAGGAAAAGAGGGCTCTCAGCACCGCTCAGGTACAGGCTTTGACGTCAATGGGCAATAGTGACTGGAGACCCATTGCAGATTACTCAATGTGATGAATTAATGAGCAAAGGGCAATCCTGCCCCTGCCTCCACAGCTACAGAGGGTCTCCTGGCAGCACAGTTAGTGCAGATCCTCTCTCTTCCCCCCCCAAAAAAAGTGGGGTGCAAGATTGTGCAGGTGTTGTATATTCTGTGCACTGCATAAAGCCCTGTGTAGATCATCCAATCCTTATACCCTCTTACAAGGAGACCACCCAAAGAAGTGCAGAAACTCCCCTAGGCTTTGGGCTGTAAGAGCCTCCATTGTACAAGATGACAGGCTCTCTATGACAGGCTCTCCAGGCCTGAGGTGAAGATATGTCCTGAGCATCAGCTCAGAGCCCAGCATGGCCACTCTCTCTGATCAACGAACAGAAGATTTGCCCCTATCTGATCAGACAGTAAAAAAAATCAATGACAGTACATCACCCTGTGTTCTTCTGTCCATTAATTTTGACAATGATCGTTCAGTTTTAATTATTGATGGCAGTGTACTAGCAAATGCCCCTATAGTATATTCTGTAAATATAATGAAGCCTTAGGGTATGTCTTCACTACTGGCTGGATCGGTGGGCAGCGATCGATCCAGCACGGATTGATTTATTGTGTCTAGTCTAGACGCAATAAATTGATTCCCCGAGCGCTCTCCCATTGACTCCTGTACTCCAGCTCGGCGAGAGGCGCAGGCAGAGTCGACGGGGGAGCAGCAGCAGTCGACTCACCGCAGTGAAGACACCATGGTAAGTCGATCTAATTACATCGACTTCAACTACGTTATTCATGTAGCTGAAGTTGCGTAACTTAGATCGATTCCTCTCCCCCCCCCCCCCCAGCGTAGACCAGGCCTTGTGATAGAGCATCTCTCTGCAGCTTTGACTGGTACCTCTTTGTGGAGAGAGGGCAGGCACAGTCAGGATCCCATGTAGATTAGCAAAACTGGACCGGCATGTGCATTTTATTTCTTTTTACCAGCTCTTAAAGATGTGTCTCTCTTTGCAGGAAAATTGTTGATAGAATAGACGATAACAAAGATGGCTACGTCACAACAGAGGAATTGAAAAACTGGATTAAGCGAGTGCAGAAACGCTACATCTTTGAAAATGTGGCTAAAGTCTGGAGAGATTATGACGTAAACAAGGATAACAAAATATCCTGGGAAGAATACAAACAAGCCACATATGGTTATTATCTAGGTAAGATTAGTCCAAAGGCAACATTTTGGCTGGAATTTTCAAAGAAGCTTTAGGGAGACTGAAATTTCATGTCTATCAAAATCCCTGGACACAGGCACCTAACTCTCTTAGGAGATTCTAGTCTCATATGAAATTGTAAATTAACATAGTTCAAAGATCAAAAGTTCCTCTGTTTGGCTATATTTTTCAAATGCACATCTGCACCATGGTCACCTCTATGCATAGGGATTTCAGGAGGGGAAGAATAAGTGAATAAAATTTCAAAGCTAAGTTAAAAGCCTCTGCTCCTATTAGTAAACTAAGGGAACTGTGTTGTTGTTTTTAAACCTTTCTTTCAAAAGAAATATGTTGAGAGACTAGTAAGTATTTGCTGCATTGTTTCTCTGAAGTTTTGGTCTGGATGCTAAACATTTATGTAAGGTCTAAATAGAATGTAATTATTCTGTCAGAACGTGCCACAGATTATGATCAATTATAAATGAAAACCCCTAAAGCAACATTTATTTGACAATATATTTGAAAGATGCAATTCTTTTCTTCTGTCCCCATGGAAATTTAATCTGATGTGCTTGATATGGCAACAGTTCAACAGCTGAGTTTTAGTGTGTTTCACGTACCGAAATTGGATGGCATATGTTGGGGTCAGGGCGTCTCGGTCCAGTTCTTATTGGGCAAGTGTCCACCATTGAAACCAGCACTTCTGTTTGCAATTTCAACAGCAAGGCTTTGGATTGAGGGCCTGATCCAAAACCCATTGAAGCCAGGCCCTGAAGGAATTATGGTTCTCTTCTCCCTCCAAGATAGATGTGGTCCCTCCAGCATGTGGCTGATATGTAGTTGGGTGGGGTGAGGAAACTTGTGCTTCTACTATTGATACTACAATTCTCACCAGGGCCATAAGCCTGAGCTCTTTCATAAGCACTGAATTCACTCTGAAAAAAGTTAACCCCCTCTGCATTTAATTGTTTTAAAATGAAAATGGCATACATATGTTTTAAAAATGGTTATACAAGAAAAAAAGTTCATCACTGATGACACAAGGTTAAATGAGATACAACTGAAATATTCTACTGCACATCTTATTTAAAAAAAAGTACAGATTTCAGATGTGATCAAAGGAGACCATCTGAAGGTTCTTTAATTAGGGCAAGTTGTAATCAGAGAGAGACCCAAAGAACTTGAAGGAAGGTATTGATTGAAGTATATGTTAACATACTGACTTTCGTTCTGGAGGAAAAGGCCTCCTACAGACTCAAAGGCCACCTCACACTGCTCTACATGACTGGATGAAATTCATGGGTCAGCACAATTCTTATGCACCATTTTGATCCCATTTTGAGGGCGTAAGTGAGACTCGGGATGTGCCCAGTTTTGTGCTGACTTTCTACACACACATTTCACTGTGTGAAAGCCAGGCTTTGGAGAGCGGCAAATATATCTTAATCTTGTTTTAATGCACAATTAAAATTTACAAAACCATTTCCCAAAGTAGTCATTTAAAAATCAGATGAGTCTATAAAGGCCTTCATTTTGAAATTGTTTTTCAAGATTTTTAATTAGTTTAGTGATGCTATTTTTCTAGAATTCTCATTCGTTTCATACTACGGAGTTTAAATCTCATTGTTTTAAACTAAAATAATTTTTAAGTTCCACCTAGGAGAAAGGTAGCTGCTAGATAAACATTAGTGAGTCTGCCAGTTTCTGAAACCAGAACTCCCTATTCTCTTCAGTTTTGTTGTTTCTAAAACTGGACAAATTGAGCAGATCAGATTTAAACAGTGAAAATTGCTTCACTATATTAAATATTGGAACACAGTTTTTACAGCTCACATTAAACTAAAAACTCACAAAATACTTTAATGTGAGAATTTGACCGTTACCAGGTAGCGCCTAGTCCTGTGCTGAGGGGAGAGAGGATTGGTAGAACCCAATGTGCTATTCACTGAATATGAATATGAGAGCTCTGTGCCTTGTGCCAGAAAAAAACTGCCAGTAATAGAAAGAAATGGAAAGTTTCAGGCTGGAATCTTCCACTGAATTTTTGAGGACTCTACTCAGATCCAGATTTGAGAGACAGAAAGCAAACGTATGAGTAAAAAAGGTGACATAGGCAGGTGCTTTCAAACTCATTCTCAGCAACCATCAGTCAGAAGCTGTGGGGAAGACAAGAAAGTTCTATTCAAGTACCCATAGAATCGTTGCTTAAAAAAATTGGTCCAAGAGACTTCCCTTAAAAGCAAAACTAGAACATCTGACAACTCCTAACAAATATGAATGGGGGAACAAGATCGGATGGCTCTGAAAGGAGAACAGGAGAAGGAACAGGCAAATCATTCATGATTGAGGCTACGATTTTGTCATGGACATTTTTAGTAAAAGTCACGGACAGGTCATGGGCAATAAACAAAAATTAATGGAAGCCGTGACCTGTCCCTGATTTTACTAAAAATATACATGACAAAATGGGGAGCAAGGAGGATCCAGCACGCTGCCCTGCTGAGGCTGGGAGCTGCAGCCCCTGCCCACTGGCTGGAAGCTGGGAAGGAATCCTGCCTATGGGGCAGCTGGGGAGCTGCAGGGGATCCCCCACAGCCATTGGGGAGTTCCGGGGCCCCTGCCACTCTGGGTGGCAGGGGTACCCTGCAGCTCCCAGCTACCACAGGAGGTGGGGGTACCCTGCAGCTCCCAGCCACTGCGTACGGAAGTCACGGAGGTCTGCGGAAGTAATGGATTCCGCGACCTCCATGACCAAATCGTAGCCTTATTCATGATGTAGGAATTGGAGATGGTAAGGACTTTTTGCAGGCCAATCAGCAGTTTTCATCTAGCTAAACATTTTATACTGCATTCATCACTGTGATGCTGGATGGCAGAGATTTGCAATATAAAATCTTTGATTTCTTTTTAGAGATATTAGATAATGCTTTTCTTTTTAAAAAAACAAACAAACCTAACCAAAAAAGATAAAATGAGCTTTTCTAAACTGCTCACACATCGTTAATAACCTTAAAAAGATCAGTGGAATCCTTACACAATCAGACTTGGGCAAGAAATCTCTTTGTGCAGGAACACAAGGACACGGTTAATTTTGTGCTTATCACAGTCCCGAAGCTGCTTGGCCCAGACATAAAGGATTTCTCACAGTCATAAGCATAGAGTAAACAGAAATCAATTCCCATAATTGAAAAATGTTATCAAATCAAAACTTGCTTGCAATAACCTGCACTGGGGATTCTTATGTGACACAGACTTAAGAGATAAAGACTGAGTGATAAAAGCTTCTGGGTCAACAGATCCACCCAGAATGACTTCCATGGAATTTGAATTGGGCCCTAAACACTATAAAGATGCACTTTCAGCTGGAAGGGGCAAAGGTGGCAGCACTATATCCTGCTAAACAGAGGAATCTACTTCTCTAAATCCTGTATAATCTATGCAACAAGATGGTGTCAAAAAACAGAACAAACATCTCCCTCCTACAAACTGGGATACAGACTGTTAACTACCTCATCAGCCCTATACAACAAGAGTCTAAAGCTCTGTACAAGACTCAGCAGATACGTAGATAAACTGGATCTGAACGACAGTGGTTGTTTGAGGACCTTAAGAGACTCTTAATTTCTTAGTTTATGGTAAATTCCACTTGCCCACCTGTAGACCACAATTACTACTAAACTGAGTCAGTCATTCGTAAGCACAAATCCTGTGATCACAAACACACTTTAATGGCTGACCATGAATTTAAGATTTCAGAAGGGAAATCCTGACACTTTAGCAGCCATCCTGACAATGAACTATTGTAATTTTAGAATCTACAGGATCTAAATATTTCAGCGGCTTTTTCTATACACTATCATTGCAGTGTATGGAGACAATGCAGCAATATTTTCAGAGACACACACATCTGAGATTGTCTAATTAATTTCTAGAAAATCCAGAAGAATTTCAAGATGCGACTGATCAACACAGTTTTAAAAAAATGCTGCCCAGGGATGAAAGGCGATTCAAAACTGCAGACCTGGATGGAGACTCAACTGCCACTCGTGAGGAGTTCACTGCCTTTCTTCATCCGGAGGAGTTTGAGCACATGAAAGACATTGTCATCTTAGTAAGTAGAGTAAAACCAATTGAATTCCTTTGCTTTTATTCCTCTGAGCCTTGATGCACTTCCCTAAACTTTCAGTTCAGGATTTTAGAAACAGGCATGCACATAAATAGTAGCCAACTCGGGAACAGAAAGGAAAGTGCTTCATGAAATTCACTTCTTTAGGGCTGGTCTACACATAGACTTGCAGTGAAATTAATAAATAAGAGTCCTATTTCAGTTTAACTAGAGTTTAAAAAAAAAGGGGGGGGAATAAACTGGCACCAACTTTCACCGGAATAGCAGAAGTTGTGAATAGAATCTGATTTAGATGTGTTGATGCAAGTTTGTATATAGACAAGCCCTTAAAACTTGAAGTTAGTGTCTAGATACAAGAGTGATAGGTGCCACCTAGATAGTTCAACAGCAAAGTGGCCAAATCTATTCATATGCATGGAATTTCTTCACTCTGACAGGAGATCTGGGCTTCCTTTGAATACGAAACTCACATTGGATCTGGTCAGTGTCAGGATTTCTGTGCACCAGGAATAGAAGAGCAGGCCATCTCCCAAATGTGAAATCTTCCCAAAGGCAGTGAGGAAAGCCAAACATGGTACAATAACTCAGGATTTCCCTTAGGATTTCAGTTTTGATAATTTTGAGAAGTGGCACCTAGTAATAAAGAGAGCTATTGGAATTTTCGGTAATTTCTTGATCATTTTGACAAAAAAATGTTTTCCAGGAAACACTGGAAGACATAGACAAAAACGAGGATGGTTTTGTGGATCAAGATGAGTACATTGGTAAGTGCTGGAATGGGGTTGACTCTCCTTAACATTTAGCACGAGTACTTTAGAAATCTCCACTCCACCAGTCCAACTTGTCTCAAATCTAAGTCAACACTTGTATCACAAGGAAGAGCACCTCCATGCCCGTACTCAGTCATTTTAAACAAAGAAAACCAAAAAGTTTCTGTCAATATTAGGCATGTAGTGACACCTATAGCAAAGGTTGCCTAATGCTTTCCATTTTTATAAGACTCTGTTTTTAGTTTCTTATAACTTTGGCAAACTTAAAAGGTGAGGGCTGATTTTTTTTCCATGCCCGATGTCTGCCTAAAAGTCGTTTTTTTTTCCCCCTGGGGAAGTCAGGTAAAATGGTTCAGCCATTTCCAAGAAAAAGGTTAGAGAAAAATGTTGTTTCTCACATGTTAATTTTTTTTAACAAGTTTCCTTGTGAAGCTCTAGTCCTTTCATGTTTTGGAGTGAAGACTTGAAATTTGGTGAGGGAGGGCTGGAAAAATTCACCCTCTCATCAGGGATGTGCCTTTTGCAGCGCCTGTGAAAATATGGCCAAATTACAAGTCTCTGGAAAAAAAATCACAGTTCACAAATGCTCGGTCTTGTTAGCATTTGGCAACTAAATTCTCTGAAGATTCCATCTGCGCTGACCCTGCTTCATCCTCACGCAGTTCTGTTCAGGTTCGATCCCCATAGTGAGTGATCATGCTCCAACCTTCTGCTGCAGGAGCTGAGCTGGGGATAGGTTGCTCCTCCCAAGAGCCAGGGCTCCCTGCTGTGATGTCAATGCTTCCCCTGATGGAATCCAGGCAGCATGGAGGAGCCTGCCTCGAGTGCAGAAGGACCGCGAAGGGGAGGAGGCAGAGTGCATAGGTAGGGGAGGGGTTGACATTTGGGAGGTAAGTGGATTGGAGCAGGAGCAGAGGTGGGGCAGGATATAGGGCTGGGATAAGAACAAAACGCTCAGTGAGACAGGAATGGAAAAATGTATGTGTGTGGCGGAGAGAGCAGGAGCTGGAGGGGGGAGGATACAAGCAGATTGGGGATTGTTGGAGGTAGGAGGTCCTGGCAAGAGTTGGGTAAGGGGCAGAAGCAGAGTAAGGAGACGGGGAAGAAGACAGGGAGGGGAACAGGAGTAGGAGCTGGGGAAGGCCAGGAGCAGGGGTTGGTGCCTAGGAGCAGGGAAACAGGGGCAGAAGCTGGGGAGAGGGTAGGAGCAGAAGAGGACAGGGAGAGACTGGGGCAGAAGAGTCTATAACCATTAGAGAACACTCCCTTACAGAACCCAGAATCGAACCCTTTATGTCTGAGTCTCATCATTCCTTTGCTGTTGTCAAGGCTGGATCCCCACTTTGAACTTTAGGGTACAAATGTAGGGGCCTGCATGAAAACTTCTAAGCTT